CTTGCGCCGCGGGCCTTCACCGGGGCGGGAACCGCTGCCGCCCGCGCGCACCCAGCCGACTCCGCGGGCGGGTGGGGATGGCAGCCCTGGTGAGCCCCCAGGGCCCGCGGCGGCCGCTCCCTCCCTTTCCCTAGGGGACTGGGGGTCAGTAGGGGGGATGCCCCCGGGTCTGGTCGCCGCGACGCTGGGCAGGTGGAGAGGGAGGGGTTGTGGATGTCAGGAGCGCGCGTCTTCGAGAAAAGGGAAGAGCTGCAGGAGCTGACACCTTCTGTCCTCCGCCACCTCCGCCCCCGCACTCTCCTCCCCGGCAGCCGAGCCTCGCTGCGGGCGGCGGCGGCTCCTCTGTCCTCAGCTCACCTCCCCGGCGGACTCGGCTGCTGCCCGCCTGGTCCACGCCTCCGCCTCTCTCTCCTCCCTTCCTCCCCTCCCGCCTCCTGGGCCCTAGCAACTTTCCGGAGTGCCCGGCTGGGGCCGTGGAGGCGGGGGGAGAGGCGCCCCCCCCCGCCCCGGCCCAGGGTGGCGCGGACAGAGCGGACGCCTGCGGGAGGTGCGGGCGCTGTCCCCGCCGCCCGGGTCCCACGGCCGCGCCGGGCGCTCCCGCAGCCGCGGGCTCCGAGCGGGCTTGGCCGGCGAGGGAGGGAGGGAGGGAGGGAGGGAGGGCCGGGCAGGCATCTGCTGCGGGCTGGAGCGCGGGGACGGGGCCAGCCTCGCCAGAGCCCTGCCAGCCGCTGTGAGTCATTTCCTTGGAATCCTACCTTTGGTGTTTATTTCCCTTAGAAGGAAACTTGTTTAAAAAAAAAAAAAAGAAAAAGAAAAAAGAAAGAAAAGAAAGAAAGAGTAATAATAGCTCTTATTCTTCAGGAGAGGCGCACGGCTCGCGCACCGTGGAAAGACAACTTGCCTTTGTTCCCAGACACTTGGGGTGTTGTTTACTTTCTCCTGCGGCCGCCGGCCGGCAGGGCTCTGCTCCCTACGTGAGAAGGGGCTCAGGGGCCCAGGCACCGACCCCTTGGGGTGTGTCTGTGCCGGAGTCTCCCGGACGTGGTGCCTGCGGGGGGGTCGGTTCTCCAGACGTCGCGACCCTGGGCCTGGGATGGGGAGACCTGGTGCCAGGGCTCGGACACCCGGACACCTCATCTTCCCCCTCAGGCCCAGCACCGGCCCTTCTCGCCCTAGGACCTGCCCTAAAGCTCCTGATCTCTCGAAGCTACAGCTGAGAAATGCACTTCTAGGGCAGACAGGTGTGCTGCAGCGAGTGGCAGAAAAGCGACATCTGTCTATTCGGAAGGGTTGAAGGATTTTATTCCACCCATTCAGCCCCTTCCACCACCACGAGCGGCAGCGGCAGCTGGACAAGCTGTTGGGATCTTGTTAAGGACAAGGAGGAGGTCGGGTTGGGGGTGGGGTGGGGTCTTGGTCCACCTGGGCAGCACGTTTTAAGACTGGCAGCATTGAACATACCAGCCCTTCTCTGCGTTTCAGTGTGGGAATCAGATCTCTAACTGCTGTGATGCTTTTAATGTTCTCTAATTTCCAGTGCGGGGGGAGGGGGAGGGGGAGGCAAAGGCAAAGAATGACCAGGAGCCCCTCTTAGATTCAAGGTGCCGCTGAACCTGTAGCCACCCTGTTCTATGTGCCTATCTCTCCTATTAGCGTTATAATGGCTCTGAGGAAAAAACATGCATAAGTCATCTGGAAAAACCAAATTGTATAGCAATGCCTGGTAACTTTACTGTGAATATTTCCTGAAAAAGCATGACATTTTAGTCGTTAGCCTTTGGGGAATGCGTGAGGTGTCATTCTGCTATGTCCAGGTGGGTGACAAAACTGACCTGCAGGAACCTGGGAATAAGAGGTTAGGACCTTTTTATTTTTTAAACCCATGTGTAGACAAAACACACTTTAACAACCTTCTTTTGAATCCACTCACCTCTGGTGTTAAAAAATACAAATCTTACCATAAATGTACATCTTTGTGGTTATATCTAATAATAACAGCACATGAATTTGTGGATTTAAACTTCTGAACTCAGTAGCAGAATTACAATGTAAATCTCATCGTACAGAGAATAGTGACAGTTTGGATCTGCACGTATAATACAAATAGTCATGTGAAACATGAGTGCTTAGCACCGCACACTCCCAATTCTTCCTGAACATTGAACTTGCCTTCTTAATTTGTTAACATCCTGGTGTAAATTCTAAATAGGCTTCCTAGGAAGACTCCATTGGAGAATCTTCTCCCAGCCCCCAAATGATCCAAAGTCACTCATATTTTATTCAGACTTACATAAATCACTTATGGAAGGGACTCAGCTTCTCCACCGTATTTGTGTGTACAGGTTTCCAGTTCAAAAAAGAAAAAACTTACAGAAATTAGATTTCACGAAGGAAAGAGCCAAGATAAGACAACTATGCCGTGTTTCAAGTTCAAATGTGTAACTGATAGAATTGCGTGTGTTGGAATCAATACTAACAAGTAGAAACACTGAAATCCTTAACCAAAAAAGCTACAACAATAAGTTATTAATATGTAAACAAACTCTTAGGAACATAAAACAGCACAGGGCCCATATAATGTCCTATTAAACAAAGGTAATTGCTTCTAGGGGCCTACAAATGCTTTCTTAAGAGGAGTGGATTTGTCAACCCTCCTCTGGTTTTATGTAATAAAAGTTCAACAGACAAAAAGCTTGGGTCTTATTCCCAGAATCCAGCACAAAAGTGAATGTGAATTTCAAGCTGGAAACCACCACTGCAGTCAACGAGAAAGGGCTACTGACCGAGAAAAAGCTATATAACTCGCGTGCTCCTGGAATAGCATTTACTGAAACAACTGTCTTTTATCATAGGTTAAGAAATTAGACCATTTATGAGAGTCTCCCAGGGAATCTGTCATCGTGAGGCTTGATAGCTTGTTTGGTTGCCGAGTTTGAGGGGTGATAGAACAGCTTCGTTTGTTAAATCAGGGCAGCCCTAAATTTTTTGATGACTCAAGAGCAAAATAAATGGTATGTCCCACTATTGCCTTTTAGAGAATTAATCAAACACCTCTTTTTTTCTTCTTCTAATAATGTTTACTAAGTCCTTGCTGCTGCCTCTTTGCAGGGAGGACAGTGTAAAAGAGAAGTGGTAGGTCATTTAGCAGCCCAAGTCATTTGGGTCCTCCTTCCAGCCACTGACATGGACACTTCCCCCTGTCTGTCAGAAGGCCTTGCTTCATTGTTCAGTGAGGTTGGGACAGAATTTAGGATCTCCAAGAGAAGCCCGAACAAAGAATGGAGTCCTGGCTGCCAAGAGCCGCTCTGTTAGCCAGAGGACATTGTCTCTTCAGTGAAGCTGTTTCCCCTTCCCCTGGTGTTTTTCCTTCTGTTACCTGGAAGTGGACCCTCCGTATAACACGTAGGTAATCACAGTCTCCCAGACAGCAGGAGATTCACCCTTTCCCCAAAACATTACAAGCTGTATAATTTGGAGAAGGAAAACGTGAAGTAGACCTTTGGCGTATGTTTGAAAGACAATCAGTCTTCAGAAAGCAGACCTGACATCACTCCTTGTGACAGTTCTTTAAATGGCAAAGTGGGATAGTGGAGGTTCAGGTCTTGTAAAGGAATTGGCAGCTAATAAAGGTGCTGAGGCCTCTCTGCCTTCACCACTGATCTCTGGCCCATAGGTCTTTTTGCTTTAGTATCAAATCCTTTTCCCCCTTGAACTCACTCTTCACCCTGCCTCGAGCCTTAGGACCAAGTGGAGACACTGAGCCCCCCTGGAAGTGGCCTGGTCCACCTGAGTTAAGCAGGGGCCCAGCGCTGCATCACAGAGCAGAGAGGCTCCCAGTCTCCCGCAGGCCCCAGGCAGGGGCGCGAACTGGAGAGGAGGGCAGTGGTGTGCCTCCTGGAAAGTTCTGCCTTGTGTCTGGGCCTCACCGAGGAAAGAGTTGCCGGCTGCCTCTGGCCCTGAAGCCCTGGCTCCTGTTTAATATTCTGCCTGCTCCGTTGATGTTGTGCTTGGCTCCTGTGGGGCTGCAACTCCCGGCTTGAAACTGGAGCCAATTTTCTGTCTTCATCTCACAGTGTTTTGACTGGAGGCAGATCCAGTTCAGGCCGATCAGGGCTGGTGGAAACAACTACCAAGTGTGTGTCTGTCTGCTTCGTTTTGGGAAAAGAAAGTGGAGGGAGCCCCGGAATGTTGTAGAGGAGCTGGCCCAGCCGAAAGGAGACAAGAGGGCCAGCCACACAGACCAAACCTGAGCGCATCAGTAGGGATTAATGGTGGAGATTTCTGCCTCCCCACCCTTTCCTTTTGATTGATTAGCGGATTTCATCAAAGGAGACTCTCTGGGGACTGACTAGAAAATTGATTTTGCCTTATTAATAGAAAGGAAGCGCAAGGGTCCGGGACTTGCCTCTTAGGGGTACATTTTGTGCGGGAAGGTCAGGGGGAAAATGTGTTAGGAGGCAAAGCAGCTGTCTCAAAGAGGGCTGAGGGGAATCTGAGAACAATAAGAAATGGGATTTTAAAGATCCGCCCATGAAATGCAGATTGCCGAACACAGAGGCTGAGCTAATAGCAGCAAGAGAGTTTGCCGAGGTTTTCTTTGAAAAAATAATCAAATGTTTCAGGGTGAAGGGGAGGACTGAGAAGTGAAAGTTTCCCAAAGCGAAGGAATGAAAATGCCAAGGCCATTCCCTGGCTTATTCTTGATTAGGGCTGTTTTCTTTCTTTCTTTCTTTCTTTTTTCTTTCCTCTTTTTTTTTTCTTTTTCTTTCTTTCTTTTTTTTTTTTTTTTTTTAGATCTGAGGCTGTCAGAGATGACTCTGGTTCTGTCCATGAATAGATTCTGCGAGCCCATTGTCTCGGAAGGAGCTGCTGAAATTGCTGGGTACCAGACACTATGGGAGGCTGACAGCTACGGAGGCCCAAGCCCCCCTGGGCCAGCACAGGCTCCTCTGCAGGGAGACCGGGGAGCCGGTCCCCCGCTGGCAGGTACTGCCCTTGACCTTCCCCTGCTGCCCTCTGCAGCTCAGCTGCCAGACTAGTGGGCGGGGGTGGTGTCTGGGGCGCCCTTCTGAGCTGAGAGAGCTCATGTTCCAGGGACTTCCCAGGCTGCCTGTACACCTCTCATAAGTGAGCCCAGGGCTCCTGGGAGGGGACCAGACGTGATACTCAAGTTGCATTCAGACCTGAGGCTACACAGGCTGCTGCTGCATGTATAAGTCATGCACCTATATTTTTAAAAGAACCAAACCAGATTTTGGAACTCTTGAGTTTGGGTTTTGGTTTTTCACCCTGTAGCACTGCATGGCTCTCTCAGAGCTACACAAGTCCTGGTGAGCTTGACAATGAAATCTTTATCCCATGAGACATAAAGGAATCTACACTTCGGGCCAGAAGCTGTGTGTCTCTTCTTTTTATTAAGCACACAACTGGCTTTCATATTCAGGGGGAAAATTTTTGAAATCTAGATGTATGTTCTTCCTGATTCTTTATTCTTATATTTTAAGGTAAGTGCCTTGGGTTTTTGTGTAGTACCCCTTAAAAAAAAACCTATAATGTAAAATAAGTACTCTTTGAAGTTTGTTTTGGATTAAAAGCTCTGTTCTTTAAAATTTAAACCCTACTTTTATTCATGGCTGACATACTATGTTTTTGAGAGGAAAAAGGACTTTGGATAGCCCAAATTTTACTTTTAAATTAAAAAGTTTTTGATTTCATATATTGAAAGAAAGAAAATTATAACTCTAATATGCAGGTAGTCATTTGCTTCCTTACCTACAGCCAATAACATTTTAAAGTTATTTGGTTGTTAGTGCTGACAGTTAAAGATGTATACATTTGAGCAGTGGTGTTATGTTATCATGGATTTAATTAAACACTTTGAACAAATACTGTTCTTTCCTTTTAGGAATTTTGCTGTTTGTGCATACAGTTAAGATTCTGAGTATTTAGTAAATGCTGAAATAGATCATTTTCCTTTATAATTACCTCGAAATCCTTGCCTAGCCTGGGCCACAATTCTGTATGATAGCAACCATTAAGACAAATGTTTATTTTTAATCACCACATGTACAGACAGATACGTAGCCAACTTATCTTCTATAAGGAAATTAAAGGAAAGTATTTTGTTTGGAGAGTCTGGCAAACCGCATGTCATTTGTCATATCTGATTTATTACCACAGGATCACATTACAGGGGAATTTCAAATCCTATAACAACATCCAAGATCACATACTTTAAGAGGAAGTATGTGGAAGAAGAGGATTTTCACCCACCACTCAGCAGCTGTAGCCATAAAGTATGTTTTTTTAATAGTCATTCTTTTTATTAAGAGTTTAAGATACTTAGTAACAGTTGCTTGATCCATTTCCAGAAATTAAATTGTTCCACCCAAGCAATGAAAATGAGCCACTTCTCAGCAGAGCCATATTAATCGTTGTCCCTTTTTTGGGTCCTGTGTTATTTTCACAAGGAATTGAGGAAAGAGCCAGCAGGAGCTCCTCTACCCAGAAATAACAAAATTACATAATCCAAGGAACATCTTTTTTACAAATGATTTGATTTTTCTTAAGTTGCATTAATGGTTATGAATGGTGTGTGCTTTCACGTGTGAACAGAAGAGCACTTGTTCTTTCCTGACCTTCCCCTTCCCCAAGCTCTAGCTCCAGTGGCCAGTGCCACTTCTGTGGGTGCCCACCTGGGAGCGGTTCCCCAGGGCTTCTCAGGACCCTTTACAGGTGGACTCCCCATCTGTTGAAAGCATGGGTGGAAGTAGAAACATGCACTTGTACACTGGCTGCATATGTTTACTTTGTTAAAATATGTAATTCATTCCCAAGAAAAGACCACAGCTAACTCTTTTGCATACATAAGAAGAAGTAGGAAACTGGCCACTAAGCTTTTCAAATACCATTTCTTTTTCTTTATGGTTATCCTCCTTTAAAAACTATCTACAGATTTAATCGAGGGAGGGTATAACCCCAGGGCTTCTGGGTGGCCCCGGTTAAGCGTCTGACTCTTGATTTTGGCTCAGGTCATGATCTCAGGGTTCCATAAAGTTCAAGTTCGAGCCCCACTTCAGGCTTCGAGCTTATAGTACAGAGCCTGCTTAGGGTTTTCTCTCTCTGCCCCTCCCCTGCTCGCTCACTCGAAATAAGTGCATGAACTTAAAAATAAGAAAAGGGAGGGTATAAGGCAAAGCATAGTTGTCTGAAACATGGAGAGGAGTTTTAATTTTTTGATGCACTTCCTCTCTGTCTCCTCTTACCCCATCTCCCCACCACCCCACAAGCTTATCCTTCAAGGTGTTGGCTTTGGCCTTGCTCATAATGACCTGGGCATGCATTGGTAGGTGCTGAGCTTTTCTCTGAATGTACAGTTCCTGCCTTTGATCCTGGGCTGGCTTTGTTCATAGTTCCTCAGGTCATGCTAACAGTTCCTTTTTTTTTTTTTTTTATGGCCTGGAAGAGGTGGCCCCCCAGGACACAAGCTGTTTATTTCTACTCTTTGGTTTTTGTGTTACGGTTGCAGCGAATTTCTAGTTGCCTCTGTACCAATCATCACATGGTGATGGTAGCACACTGCTCAGAAGTGAGTCTTTCTCATTTCTTCCTTGCATCTCTTCTCCTGCCTGGCTCCAGAAGGAAGCCTACTTTGGCCCTTCAACTGACAGATCCTTTCAGGGGAAAGGCTGTTGTCCCTCGTTCAAGCAAAGATAATTGCAAGTGTTAAACCCACAGGGACAGCCCTGAAAGCAGTTCTCATGCTCCTGGCCAGGGTTTGAAGTATACTTATTATGACCTGCATTTTGCCATCTTTCAAAAGACATTTATTTCCATGTAATGTATGAGTATATGTGTGCGCGTATGCATGTGTTTGTATACACTCACATAAAAGCACAAGTGTCTTAAGGGTACAGCTTGATGCATTTCACATAGTGAACATACCCGTGTAACTAGCACCCAGATCAAGAAACAACATAGCCAGCAACTGAGAACCTCTCTTCGTGCCTCTTGTTACTACTTTTCTGCCCCCGCCCTGAGAAACTGCTCTCCTGATTTTTAGCAGTGTAGATTTGTGTCTTTCAGCATCTCCCTCACGGGGCCATATAAGAGCGAACAACCTGACCTCCACCTGCTGAGGTCTCCATTGTGACTGGATTCCCAGGTGCTTGACCACACCAGGGATTCAGGAATGGGGGCTTGGGGGGGGGGGGGGGGGGAGACATTAGTAACACCAGGGACAGCATCCCTAAATGAATTTGGGAGAAGCAGGAGCCCAGTATTCCCAGATCCAGAGACTACCAAGAAAGAAATGTACTGTGATGACATTTTCGTGTAGTCCGTGACCTAAGTTTTCTCTTCCTTTTTTGACTTTTAGACCATCTCAATTTTTGAGGAACGAGCCCACATCCTTTATATGTCATTAGAAAAGCTAAAGTTTATCGATGATCCTGAGGTATACCTGCGAAGATCTGTCCTTATAAACAATTTGATGAAAAGGATCCATGGAGAAATCATCATGCAGAGTAACTGGTGCTTTCCTGCCTGCTCTTTCAATGGCACCTCTGCTCAAGAGTGGTTCATGGCTCAAGACTGTCCCTACCGAAAACGACCACGGATGGCCAAAGAGGAGTGTGAAAAATTTCATGCCTGCTGCTTTTACCAAGAATGTGGTGGTCACTACCTAAATGTACCCCTTTCTGTCCATGCTAGCGTTGGAAGTGCCTCCACCACTGTCCCCTCTTCCTCCTCATCCTCCTCTTCCTCTCCCCCTCTACCTTTACCGAGTTGTTCCCACCAGGTGGATTTTGACGTAGGCAGCGCACCTATTTACAAGGGTGATGGCCAGATACCTGCCAATGAAATCTTTGTTACTAATGTCAGGTCGCTAGGTGTTCAGGAAAAGGCCACCTTAAGTGATGAGAAAGCAAATCATGACACCAACAGGGATGGTGGCCCCATAAGCCATGAACCTGTGGGAAATGACCTGGCTTTTGAGTGCAAAGGCCAATTTTATGATTATTTTGAGACTGCATATAATGAAAAAAGCAATGTGAGCGAGTCTTGGAAAAAATCCTTAAGGAAAAAGGAGCCTTCACCAAGTAACAAACTGTGCTGCAGCAAAGGGAGTAAAATATGAGCCATCTTTTCACCGAAACTCTGAAGCATGCACAGCATGATCAATTAGCTCTCATAAATTTTATTTTGAATGGATTTTATAGTTTTGTACAACTGATAAAATTATGCCATGAACATGCCGTGTCGTTTTAATGCCTGGAGAGCAGATTGCATAAAACATCTGTATAGTAGGCATCAGCGAGCTACTACTTATAAATGTGGTGATTTTGCCCAAAAACCAGCTGACTTAATGCTTAAAAGTAGACCTTACTTTTCTTATGGAAAAGGTCAGTAGATTAGCCTGGGGGCAGTGTGCCCTTGTGATCTTTCCATTACCCCCAAGGAATCTGTCACTAGCTAGGAAACTTCCAACATGTTCGCCAACTAATTAGGTAGTTATTTGGTAAGCAGACCAAAACAACCAGCAAAAGATGCCTGCTTCTACGTGACTATTGTTTTTTCTGAATAAAAGACTGAAGACAGGGAGCTAGATGAAGTGGCCTCGTGGTGCCGTTAAGTATTTATATTTAACAGTCTTGCGTGACAGATGAAAAGAGGATGGAACATAATGAAACACCAGTCTTGGGGTGGCAATCAACAATATGTGTAGAGGGGTGATCCCTGCAAGTTCCTGGCTTGCCTGTGATGGGTGATTCGGCTGTTAAAGAGAGGTGTTATACAGGGCGATTTTTGGTGCCTTACTTTATCTTAATTTTTGCCAATGTGCAAATTAAGGATAAATCAGAGTTACAGCAGGGATTTAACAAACAGGAAAAAAAAAATACACAGGGTGGATCAATATCGTTTGGAAACCGTTAACTTCGAAACTATTGCGTTCAACTTTTGATTCAACATCTCTATCCTTTCTTTGTTTTTGATGCCCAATTGCTTTTGGATTTGGCATTTTTAGAAAGGGATGGGGGCAACAATAGAGCTGTTAGAAGCCAGCACTAAGCTGCTTGAGCTTTTTCTATGGCAACGGTCTGTTGCTGGGGTTTGGGTTTTTTGGGTTTTGGGTTGTTTAGTTTTGTTTTGTTTTCTTGTCCAATGCAGTTCATGAACCAGTGGCATGCATTATACTTTAATCTGTTTTGCATCATTTCACTCGTTTAGATTATGAAAGCATGTGGTTTTTTATATATGACTTTTGCTGTTGATTAAGAAGCACAATGTTAATAAATGATGTGGTGATCAATAAGGTTTTATCTTAAAGAATGTAAAGATTTTCGTTTTTGGAAAGTTATTTTGGAGAAATGGGACTCAGCTGGCAATAGCTACCATGTATTTGGTCAACATGTTTCTCAGTGATTTCTTTAATTTGCACGTTTGCAAGAGCGTGTTCAGAGTGCCCCTCTGACCGTCTGCCCTTCTGCAGCCAACTTCTTCCGCGCTGTATTGCAGTTTCCAAGGTTGCTAGTTGACTTGGGCCTCCTTAAACAATACTTCACAGGAACCAAATGCCAAACGGAGGAAAGAAGTACGTCCTCCCAGTTTCTCCAAGATAAAGCTTTTTTATTATTGCTATTAATATTAAATATAGGTCTCATTCATACAGTGTATGAGTAGGATCATTTGGACAATGTCCACAAGGACCAATTTTTAAAACATGTTCTTGTGTTATGGCTAAATAGTCTAGTAATGTTTTGTCCTTTATTTTCAATATTTGATAAACATTTGATGTTGAAAACTTAGATGATAGATGCTTGTATATGACTGTGTTGTTGTAATAAAGTGAGGTTTTCTTGATATATATTTATTAAAATGATCAAAATTCATTAAGATTTTCTTTTTTCCATTGCTCTTTCTCTTTCAAAAAACTCTAAATGTCTAGTGGACAGTGGCCATGCAGGTGTCTTCAAAATGAAAGACTACTTTAAGAGGTCAATTGGACAGGTATTTTAGAATGATGCTAGTTTGTAAGTTTAGATTCCTGTGGATTAAGAGGACAGTATTTTTTTTTTAATTTTTTTAACGTTTATTTATTTTTGAGACAGAGAGAGACAGAGCATGAACAGGGCAGGGTCAGAGAGAGAGGGAGACACAGAATCTGAAACAGGCTCCAGGCTCTGAGCGGTCAGCACAGAGCCTGACGCGGGGCTCGAACTCATGGACCGCGAGATCATGACCTGAGCCAAAGTCGGATGCTTAACCAACTGAGCCATGCTGGCGCCCCAAGGGGACAGTGTTAATAAATGATGTGGTTGGTTGTCAAGGCTTCATCTTAAAGAATCTAAACATTTTCCATTTTTGCAAAGTTTCTGACAAAAACATAGCATAATGTAAACCCTGAGTAAATCCTAGCTGATTTCCATTATGAAATGCCAAATTGTCAAAAAGATGACTCGTGTCAATGGTTGAAACCGCCATAGATCATTGCTAGTGTTACTCCATACAACTCTGTATTAATGTTATTCTTCGAGGCTAATATTTCATTTGGTAAGAGAAGGCTAGTTGAAAGCTAATTAATTTGTCGGACATAGCATTCTTACTCTGTCCTACATCATAGAGATTTAAATATGAAAGAAATAACATCCTTTTGCTTTTTAAAATCCCCCAGCATTATTAATGTTTCTCTTGATGGCCAAAGCTATAAAATGACTGAGTTGGTGATTTCCCACAGCACTCACCTGAGCTGGGGTTCAGGCTTCCACTCTGTAGAACCCACCAGAGCTTCTCTGCTGGAAGATCGGTGCCTTTCAATTCAGCAGCATTAAAATTTGTAATTTTTAGTCATCAAGTTTTTGTTTCTAGGATATTTCCAGCATACCAAAAGACCTTTCTCTTTCCCCTGCCTCCCAAAAAAACTCCTGCTAAACACCCATCGGAATAAAAATGTTCCTTTTGTTGGTGTGAGAGCATTAGGGCCTCCTGTGTGCCTGGATTGCCATGTCTACTCAGAAGATACTCAGATTTTTCCAGAGTGGCCAAGACAGGTAAATCTAGGGACTGGGTTCTATAGCTGCATCCTCAGAGACTGGTAAAGCTAAGACACTCTTCACCCCACACACTGTGTCTGTCCACCTGGAAGGAGCACCTTTTCTCATTGCTGTGCTTTGCTTTAAGGAAAACCTGATAGGGCAAGATTCTGGACTTTTAAAAGTTAAATGAAGGGAAATACTTAAGAAAATGACCCAACTCCCCCAAGAATGCCATTGATTGCTACTCCCTGAGGCATCTCGGTGCATCTTGTTAACCAAATCATTCACCTTTGCCTCTGGTTGTTCCTCTCTAAAAGTGGAGCGGAGGCCCTTTAAAAGAGCAAAGATACCGTAGTCTTCCTAGCTTCCACTCTCAAAAATCCTATTATTCTGTGCTTCACCTTGAAGGGGTCCCAAGGACAGGATTACAGCAGCCAGGATGTGGGAGGAAGGTAGAAACACTCAAAAACTTGAGGAAGTGACTGTCTGCTGACCAATTAGTAATTAGGGTCAAGCATCTTTGGCACGATCTTTTAAGACAGTGGTGATTTAGAACATTTTGTTTCGTAAATGGTGAAGCCAGCGAATGAACATTTAGTTTTGGAGATCATAGTTAACTCCATCAAAGCAGGGCTACCCACCCCTCCAATCATGAACTTGTATTACAGCTCTACTGAATGCCTTCCTTTCTGTGTATCTAGAGAAGAGCTGGGAACAACTTGGCAGCAGACATGGGCGTTAAGAGATGTCAACCTCACAATAAACATCAGACAAGGATATAAGGATTCGTATGCAACGCAGCTCAGGCTTTTATATTCCTCAAACAAATTGTGAGCAGAAAACGTTTTTGAAAATAATTAGTTGTTCAAATCCATTTTCTGTGACAGCCCCTGAAGTTTGAAGCCACTTCATTTCTACTGAAGGTTATCCATGCCAATTTTGCTAGGCCTTTTCAAAAACAGGGAGTCAGCAGGCCATGAACAGTGATGGTTTAAATGAGATGCAGAACTGTCCCAGGAAGAGGGGAAGGAAATCAATAGTTCGGTAACAAAAGAGACAATGTATGGTTTCTAGGAATTCACATTAAGATTCCTGTGTTTTGATTGTGGTTTAAAATAAAATGCATTCAGGATCTTGCAAGTTACTACTCACTGCCTCCATTGCTCTCCTAGAGTGTGTAAGCAAGGTAGATTATCTCCACATGGCTAAAACTTCTCCATTGGATGTGAGAGCTACAGGACCAAGGGTGAAACAGTTACCAGTTGAGAGATTGTTTCCAGCCCTGTGTACATGCCACATTTCAGCTGGGGGAATTCGCTTAGGAAAAGCACTTGCAAAGATGTAAGTCATGAACACTTGAATCTCGCATCCTGCCATAAAGTGCATCAGCAAGTGAGTTTAATAAAACATGCTGTTTAAAATAGTCTGTAATTTCCTGTTTCTGCGTTTTCCTTCAGTATGTGTGACAAGCTGAGGAACCATGACTACACGAAGGGCATTTACACAAGCTCGTCTGGTGGTGTTTGCAAACCATTGCCACGAGCTTTATCTTCTTTGGTAAACAATTCTCTGGTGGGCTGTCTATGATTGTTGTTTTTTTTCCTTGGTGTTGGTCCAATTTGTTAATTCTGAAAATGCAAACTACTTATTCATAGCCTGGAAACACCTGCTTTTGACCGCAGTGAAACTGATAGAACGTATGGAGATGAATTAGTCATTTCTCATGAAAGTACCCACGTTTTTCTCAACCCCATTTTTATAACTGTTCCCTTGATTTAAAATTATAAAATCTTACAAAATGCCAGATCTTGGGAGATAGAACACACATAGAAAAGAACTTGCAGAGACGGAAGTTGTGATCTTGCCTCTTGCCAAGATGCCAAGACAATGGACAAAGCAAAATTTGGGAGAGGCCCAATCCACGCGAAGGCCTGTACTGCCCAGACTGGCTTGGCTTTCAGCAAGCACTCCCTTCGTCCAGGTCATTCCATGGCAGCAGCTGGATTCAAACATCAGGCATGTGATGCTCCCTGCCCCCTGATACTAGCCTGGGGTACTTCTAGATACAGTGTTTTTTCTGCAGATGTTTTCTGAGGTGACTGCAATGAGCTACGATCAGATGTGACATAACCCTGTATCCTGGTGATCAAGAAGTGAGCAGAGCTCTCTCAGTGCACCTGGCCCAGAACTCAGGCATCTATAGCTTCCTCAAAACTCACAAACACCTCTGTGCGTGATTGGGAAAAGACGGAGAATGACAGATTATAAGGCAAGGGAATTCAGCAAAAGGTTAGGAGTTGCTCTCTGATGGAGTAGAGTGTGAGAAGTCTGAGAAACACAGTACCCCACGTGCATTGCAGAGTGAGCTCACTTTCTTTAAGGAAAAGTGTAAAGATCCAAACAGAAAGAAGAATTTCCCTGGGGGGGGGGGGGTGGTGAGTCAACCTCTTTAGGGAGATAGGAAAACTATTTCAGGGACTAAAGGATTTCCTTTACGTTTTTGCAAGAAGAGAGAAATGGTTTGTTTGCCCTTTCTGGGAGCTGGGTGTGTTTCTCATTGTTTCCCAAGTCCATAGATGCTGTGGTTTTCAATTAATCCACCAAATGATCTTTGTGACTAGGCATAGTTCTTAGCCTAATGTACCTCTCTCCTATTCAGTTCAGGCTCAGCAGTTGTGGTTTTCTCGTGAGACTGGACTATAGCAGAGGGTTAAGAGTGGGATTTGGAATCCCGCTGCTTGGATGCATCTGTAGCTATGCAAGCTTGACCTTGGCCTGCAGCCACTTCACTTCCTGGTGCCTTGATTTCCTTGTCTGTACAATGGGGTGGCATAATGTACCCACCTGACAAGGTTGCCAGGATTAAAGGCTTTATTTAATATTAGGGAAGTGACGCACCCTTGCCTAGATGCACATGATGGGTATGCAGTGACGGTGAGCCCCCATGACTTATTCACTAATGTCCCTGGATGCCCTGAAGGCTGGACCTTGATAAAACCAGATTCTCCTTTTTGTGGAAAGCGCTCAGCCTTTTGGGTTCCGTATAACAAGCTTGAAACAAATAGAGGTGTTGTCAAACCTGGGGAACCAAGACCCTTAAACACCTATAAAATAGTCATTGGTGTCCTTGAGATATTTTTAACATTTCAAAAGGTTTACTGGAAATCAAAATTTCTTGAAAGCAGTTGCATAGACTAACCCATGGCAGATTTCTTTACTGTTACTTGGAATTAAACCAACTCTGGGTTAACACAGCACAAGCTGAGAAGAAACTCTGGGAAAATGAAAGCGTTATCCTTAGTAATTACAATTGGTTTCATAGAATCTCTGAGAACATGGACTATATTAAGGGAATAAGAGGTATCCCTTATAAGTGAAAAGATGAAAAACTGCTAACCTCTGACTCATGCCTAGGATTTGTCCAAGTTCAAGTTAATTCAATTGCTGTATTAAATGATTCTCTTAAAGTTAGTTTTTACTCAGAAAAAATACAGTTTTGAGTATTTATATAATGTGGATAATTTAGACCCAAAATGATTCCTAGTGTTCTTACATCTGGCAATGGAGGCCAAAGCAGTATTTTCCGGATAATCCTAATTTTGGGGGACATGGCCTATCATAAATAAGTAGGATACAGTTTCCACCTATAAGAAGTTTAAAAAGCAGATCAGCTAGGGAGTAGTTATTCCCACTTCAAAATTTCATCTTTACCTATGTTGCCTTTCAGCTCAGAGCCCAACTGATGGCTTCAACATAAGATTCCCTTTAGCAAATGAAATTTCCACTCTCTCAACTTTTCGTAAGCGTTTGTTTTTCCATGGGGCAAAGTACACTTGTAGTGATGCTTGCTGACTGGT